TTTTTGAGACAGCACTCCCTGAAACTAAAGCTTGTAATTTGTCTAGATGGCTAGTCACCAAGCCCCAGGGATCCTTTGGTTTCTGCCTCTCAGTACTGAGTTTTTAGGCACACACTGCCACTGCCAACTACGGGTTTAACTGAGGCCTACATGTTAACACAGCAAGCCCTTTACAAACTAAGCTATCATCCCAGCCCAGTTTATCTGTGGGCTGAAATATACCTATGCAGTGTTCTAGAGAATAGAAGCTTTAGCTTCTGACAATACTAAAGACTTTCCTTATGCACTACTCCTGTAGATGTAAAAGGTGCATAGCAAGACACTGATACTCTAGGCTAGTGAACTGCATGCACTTTCTGTTTTATGACAGACATTTTTCACAACATGTTAGCTAAAGGGTAGGAAAAGAAATACCCAGACACAAGAGATCTTGTTCCTAATCCCCTGAAGAAAGTGCAGGTGGCAGCTTTTCCACAATGGTAAGAGGTAGGCTAATTAAGCAGGCTTCTCATAACTTTGTGAATCATAACATTTCTGTGGCCAGGAAGGTTTATGTTGATAGGTGGGGGTATTTCGTGGTTACTATGTTGTTCAGCCTGGTAGTTTTCAAAGTTCTAGGTTCTAAAGTAGGAGAGGAACAACAATAACAACAACAAAAATCCACCTGCGGTGGTCTTCTAGAGGTACAACCTCTTAGCTCAGGAGCCTGAATTCAGTTATACTTAAAAGGCTGGGTGAGATTAAATTCTGTTCTATCTAGAGGAGCCCCCAGGTGGACAGTCTGTGTATGCCTCTGCAGTAGTTTTAGTTACTTTTTCCCAAGAACGACATGGTAGTTTCCCAGCTTTAGGGGTAGGCGGCAACCCTAAAGTTTGGACCTCCTAGAAGAAAGATCCTGAGATACAGTGAAGGGGAACAAGTTGTCTATCTGGAAGGTGATTGGGCAAGCAAGACCTGAAGGAAGGATCAAGAAGAGGATACCAGTAACCATTAAAGGAAGGTGGAGTCTGAGTACTGAATCCTGAGGAAAGACTGGAGAATTGGCACAAGGAAGGATCTACAGGGGTGGGAAAAGGTTCTGAGTTTTTCCAGCCCAGGTAACAGACATTGTCTCTACGACTGATCACAGCCAAATCCAAATTAGAACTGCCAAACCAATTCTTCCAGATCTCTAGACACAGAACTGTAGGACATATAGAAGTAGCCTTGCTTATAGCCAAAGAGATTGGAGAGGGCATGTTTCTTAGCAACTGATGACGGACACAGCATAAATTTCTAAACTGAATGCTGAGGCCTATTTTGAGACAGAGAACAACAGGTCAGGTCAGGTATCAGGCAAGTGACTAGTTCACATACAAGCAAGAAGTATTTTCACACCCACAGGATATCTTCAGGCGAGCTTTATGATGAACTTTCTAAATACTCACTTTTGCCACAGGAGTTTCTAGTGTAGATAAATCAAGGTTCCTAATTATTCTAGGCACTGTACATTCCAGTCAACTTACCCACCCCCACCTTGTCTTTGTTTCCTGAAGGCACTGGCTACATCTGCCCCTTGTCCATCCTCTCCTTGTTCCCTACCTCAACAGAGTGGTCAGGAGCAGCTGTATTACTTGACCTGGACCAACGTTTCTTGTGAAGAAAACACTTTCACACAGTCATACCTCCACCACCTGTGGATAGGTTGAGTACTGCTACTTCTATATATAGTAATAAATACGTCATAGAACCTGACACTGTTAACTAGGAGAGAGGCATTTCATCCAGTTTTTTGCCTCTCAAAAGGACAAGAAGAAGGCCAGTAACCACAGTTATCTACTTTCTGAGATGAAGGGACTGTTCTCCTGGCTCTGAGACCCCAGGAACTCTCTGGTCCTTGAAAAACCAATAAGGCACATGTTGAGTGCCTTATTTAAGTACAATCCAACCTTACCAACTTAATGCTGTGATCATTTCTACTATACTGTCTACTTGTCACACACACCCTGAGTATCTGTTGGAAAAAAAATGTTCAAGAACTGAACAAAAATAGAGAGCAAGTTTGTCTAAGGCAAGCTATGAGAAGGAGGAAGTAACTTTGATTCTCAGACATGGAGACTTTAGGTACGAGTGGTTTGGCTTCCTATGCTCAGAATCTTCAGAACAGGACCGGAGCTCAAGTATAACAATGGGCAGGCTGCTACTCCCTTCTTTTACCCTTAGAAAAACAAAGATCAGTTTCTAAGGGCTAAACTATGCATGGCTTTTGAAGGTAATATTTCAGCACCTACACACTTGGTCATACATGAATACTTATTGATTGCCTACTAATATCACCACTACCACCTACGGGCATAGTCTGGGCTTCCAGTTGACAACAGAGAACAGGGAAAGTACAGGCCTTGGTCCATAGTAAGTACCTATGGGTTCAACTCTGATGAGATAGAGAAGTGGCATTCAGGAGATTCTTTGGTAATTTCCTGATTAGATAAAGTAGGTTCGCCCTCCTCTCTGGACATCCTATGCCTCCCCTCCTCCATCCAAGCACAGGCTTACCAGGCTGGGATAACACCAGGCAGTGGCAAGCAGTGTAGCTTCCTGATGTCCCAGGGCTGTTTGGGGTTAATGCCAAGAAGGGCAATTACATTGAATTATGTTATAGGACATTGAAGTGTTTGGGAGTATTGCTAGATAAAATGAAACCCAACTAATTATATCTTAATTAATTAATTACTGCTGTCCTTGGAGGCTTCTCATTTTAAATTCCCCAACTCTGCATCACAAGAACCTTGTCCACCGTTCTGAACTCAATGTCAAGACAAGAAATGAGGGAGGAAAAACATAAAACCTAGCTGTAAAAATAATTTTTAAATTTCTAGTTTTTCTTTCCCAGCTCCAGCTCCCAGAATGATGACTTTGAGACTAATAAGTTATCATTAAATGCCTGGACCATAAACTGTGGCTCATTCTTTGACTAGCTCTTAACTTATTTAACCATTCAACCTATTCTATGTTTACCACTTGGTTAGTTACCTCTCCTTCAGTCCTGGCTCATTTCTTTCAATTCTTCCTTCTAGTTTCCTCAGCATCCCCTCAGTGTCTACAAGTTCCTCTACCTAATGGTGTTCATCCTTCTACTCAATCTGTTTTTCAGTCTTGTCTCTCTCATTTTGTCCCCCAAATATCTCCCTGTGTCTCCCTTTATTCTTAAGATATTCCCCCAGAATCCTCTCTCTTCTTGCCCATGTCCCACCTCCTGTTTCCTGCCTCAGTTCATTGGCCATCAGCTTTTTTCTTGACACATGGTGCTTATAAGAGATTCTCTACACCTAGCTTTCAAGATTCAGAAGTCAGTATCCAGAGAAGGCTTTCAGAGGGAGATGTGTGTTCTTATGAACACATCACAGATTTCCTACTCACTAAATCAGAATCAGGAGATTGTGGAAAATGAAACTCACAAGTTATCTTTAAGTCTGACCACCTAAGGCTCATGACATATGTTATTATTTTTAGGTTAAGTGAATAGTATGGTCTCTTGAACCTACATATAATGCAGAAATATCACAGATTCACCCTGAAAAGTGGGGCTAGTGAGAAGAAACAGATCTCTTTGTGGATGATCATAAAAGCGAGTTAGGGGATCGCACAGAACAGTGGGCTCTACTTTTACACTGACCAGAGTGTCCTCTGCTTCATAGGATTAGCTTTTCTGGGCATCACTCATAGCTACAGAGGATCATGTGTCTAGGCAGCATCCATTCCACTAGCCCATGAGCCATGTGAATCAGGCAGTCCCTCCATAATTCGACAACTTAAACCAACATCACTCCACTTCCTGAATCAAGGAGCATGTGTAGTGTAGTAAAGGGTCCCAGCCAGGCAGCAAAATCTGAACACAAGGACTCATGTTCCTCAGCAGTTCTAGTTCTCAGGGGGGCTTCTAGATCTAGCTCAGAGGCCCCTCAGAATTGTCACAGGCTTCTGGAATCACCTCTGGGATTTTTCCTATCCTCAAGATATCCATTATAGAGATAGCTTCCTAGCCACATTTCTAGGCAAGAAGAGGGACTATGTTTTACATAGTAGTTTCATGTCTTATAACAGAACAAAACCTTTTTCAGAGTTTTTATGGGGATGAATGAGGCCTACCTACAATAGCCAGCTCCCCTCCCTTGGCTAGTGTATATAGTCCTAACTTCAGAAAATGATAAGGAAAGGAGGAGTTAGTGAAGGGCTTACAATGTCTGTCCCAAAAGACTGATTCTAAACCAATACCTACTCTCTACATTGCTCTTTATCTCATGACCCCGAGAAGTGTATATCTAACTAACATAATGCCTCATTATGTAACTAAGTGCTCAAGCACAAAGGTGAAGGCCTTATACAGAATACGTTTACCAGTAGGTGAATGTCACCAATCCTAGCAATGGCAGGGGTGGGAAGCAGTCAAAAATCAAGGATGCCACAGCACTCAGAAGAATGGTGCCTCAAGGCTTCTAGGGTACGTTTAACAATATCATACCCTAATTTTCTCTCTTGGAAATGAGAAATAATTTTTTTCTCCATGCTTCTATTGGGCTATAGGGGTTGAAAATGTGCTTTAGAAATTGTTTCCCTAATGAAAACAGTACCTGTTATTGAGTAGTAAAGGTGGCAGTAGAGATGAGAGCCACACCCATGTCTGATATGTTTATGGTTCCTGAGACTCTGCCTTCACATTACTGGTCTCTCCTGGATAGTTCAAGGCATGACTTCCTTGAGACATGAGAGAATGGGACTTGCCATGCGGGGAATAATGACAAACACCATTGATCCTTTTTTTTTTTTTTAATTTAGCGGTTTACTCGGAGTCTAATCTTTATGAGAATAAATCCTATTCCCTTATGTCCTTGCTTGTATTGCTTGAACCTGTCTGTAATCCAGTAAAGTTACAGATTGGGAAGGAGAGAAGCAGAACTCTCTACTTGCCATTCTTTCTAACTTGTTCACTCTCCTTTTCTTTTTCTCTGCTAACTCCGCAGACAAACAAAGCTGTGGCCAAAGGAGACTTCCATCAGGCCAGCACCAGCTCCCGGAGGGCCCTGTTCCTGGCAGTGCTATCCATTACCATTGGAACTGGCATCTATGTGGGTGTGGCTGTGGCCCTCATTGCCTACCTCTCCAAAAACAACCACCTGTGAGCTTCCTGAAGGCTGGCATGAAGGAGGGGGAGCTGAGCCAGGTGTGTGAGGGCAGAGAAGAGACACCTGTGTGTTACTGTACAGTACAAGTGATTGCCAAATGACTCCATGATGCCCTGGAATCTTCTACTCCTGGACTTCTTTTGTTTTTATCCTTCAACTTCATCTTCAGCACTGTGCAGAGCACCAGGCAGCCAGCAATGCTGATTCTTCCATGCGGAAGTTCCAAAGATTCCATCCCAGTGGCTGACCCTGGATGAATTCTATTGGATGGATGACAATCCAGCTCTGCAGCCTGCCAGTGCCTGGACCAATACCCCATTAGCAATATACAAACTGTTAAAATATGTTTATTTTTTATGGAATATGGTGCAATAGGCAGAATGCAGGAGACATGTCACCACTAGCTTGTGGCCTGCTTAAATCCTCTGTGTGTACCCCATCTTTGTGGCTTCCTTGTCAGAAACAAGTGGGGCTGAGAAGGAAAAAAAAAAAACACCTGCTGGGAGATCTTCTGTCTCTGTCCACAGATGGATCTTGCCTGAGAATGCAAAATTAGAGGAGCATAATGCCTACCCTGGCCCTTCTCAGTCCCAGCACGCTGCCCCAGCTTGGAGCATCAGGCTTCTTGCAGATACCCAGCAATACATAGTTCTGGGGCCTCCCTCACTAATCTTAAAGGAGAGGAAGCCACAGTTCCTCTTAATAACGAACCCAGTGTTTTCCCCAGGAGCCTGAGGGAAAGGAGCTGTGAAGACACACTGGGTGTTTAACTCCTGGATGCTCGTCCTGGCCATGAGCACCACTGATGCTGGAGATCCAGGAAATGAGATGGGCCTTATTCTGTCCACTAAATGAATGGCTATTTTCTTGTCATTTTTCAAGTGCAACTCTTGCTTCATGCTGCTTCAGTTGCCAGATGAATGCTGAGAAATAAGTAATCACAGATGTTTTAATACCATGTCATTGCTGTTTTACGAGTGTTCATTATTTAACAAAAATTATCTTTTAGCTTGTTTGCTTATGACTTTTCTTTCTGATGAATGGTGATGTTTGGGCTCTGTTTTGGTGATTTACTTCATGCTTTACTGGTGGAAGAGTCAGCCAGCATGCAGAAACTGTGTTTGGGTGGCTTTGAAGGACAAGAATCATGAATCACACATCCCAGGCTCCATGTCCACCTTAAGCATCACCAGAGAATACAGAGACCCTTTGTCTGGAGTTCTCCATGTAGTGCTTAAAATATCCCCAGTCCCTAGAATCCTGGCATCACAGACCCAGAAATCCTGACTTAACTAGTCAGAATGCAGCTGGGTGATTTCAGTGCTCAGTACAGGTGAGAACCCCTACCTGGAGTAATAACAAGTTTAGTCTCTCCCACTTGGCACTGCCCGCCATGACTTTGAGCTCTTAATGTTTTCAAAATCACCAGCACTGTTTTCCTGAGTTGATTATAACATGCATCTCAAAAAGATCATCTAGGCTTGGCTGTGGGCTCTTTAATCCCAGTACTTGGGAGGCAGAGGCAGGCAGATCTCTCTGAGGTTGAGGTTAACCCGATCTATAAAGCAACTTGCAGGACAGTGAGTGCTTCATGGAGAAACCCTGTCTCAAAAGAGGGGGGTGGTAATTTCAATCTCTAAGCCCATAGTTCTAGGAAGAGAGTACAGATGATGTTCAAACACACACTAATGAGAGTTGAGTGAGCTGGCCCTACAGAAAGTATAGGATTGGGGGTCAACATAACCTGGATTCAAATTCAGTCTTGCTTTTTTTTTCATTGTATGATGTTTCTTGAACAAATGTCCGCAACTCTCTGAACTGTGATAGGATAGTTGAAAAGGGTTGCTTCATCCAACTGCTGGAGAACTCAGGTCCAGGGGAACAGTAATGAGTGTAAGTAGGTATAGTAGATGGATGGCTCTGATTATGTCAGGATTATTCATAGGTCATTTCATAGTTTGTTTTTATTGTTTCAACTTTCAGCCTAACTTCTCAGGATTTATATGTAAAATGGGAGGGATGCCCGTCAATCCATTTTAAACTCAAGGTATGCCTGAATTTCCATTTGGTAGATTTGGAAAATACATAATTTCAGTCTGTCTAAGCAAGTTACTCTATACATGCTAGCCCAACTACTCACTGTGTCCTAGATTTGTCTTTCCAGATAGAAGAGCCTCAGTTTACAAGGCTGCTGTCCTGGCTATCAGTACTCAAGAGCTACTGTGTAATTGTCCAGGGCCAGGGGACCAAGGTTACTTTAGGCATCATACAGGTCATGATGAAAAGTGTATATGCAGAGTTAAATTGGGGCTAATGGACTGGTGCTGTGTAGCTCTCAGTGGGTAGAAGAGTGCAGTAAAACATGGCACTGGTGACTGTGTGGGAAGTAAGTGAATGTTATCCTCAGTGGCCCTGTTATGTTAATATCTGCTGCAAAAAGCAGAGCAATCTTCCTGCAACCTGCGCTATACATGGGCAGCCCATTCCTTGGGCACATGGATAAGATCTCATATGAGCATCCCAGGGGAAACATGATAAGGAAGGATGAAAACTGAAGTTCAGAGATACGAACACACTAAACACCACATATACTGGCAGGTGTTATGGCAGGGCAGAGTCATACCTGAAATGTCCCAGCCTGGCTTACCACTGGTGACAGAATGCTACTTCTGGCATTTACATCCTTGAGCATGCCAAGGGAAAATGTCTTTTCCATACCAGCCCATTCACATATTATGAGAAGTCATTCTCACAACCATATAGGAGAGACCCAGAACACATAGTCCTTTCCCTAGTGTCCCATGAAGCCAAGTGGAGGCCCTACCTTACTCTGTTTTGTACATGTCTTGCACCTTAGCTGCAACCTGTGCCAAGAGAAATGGCTCAGCTCACATTGCCAGTGAGATGCAATGCTTAGAGACATGGAAGATGTTTGGGTTTCTATATTTTCAGCTGACTTTGCCAGAAATGTAGGGAGCAGGATAGAGAGAATGGAATGATGTCATTTCTAAGGAATTCTCCCCTCCTATGGCTGGTCCTCACGCTCCTTTAAGAAGGCTGTGGTACATCTTCAACTCACTTCTCCTGATGTCACTGTTCCATTCTTAGAAATGACTCTTTCACCTTCCTCATTTCTCCTGTATATTTTGCTTGAGAAGACTGGCTTTACCACAAGTCTCCACTTTATGAGGTATCCCCAACTCACAAGGTCTCCCACCTCATGAAGTACCCTTCTACCATCAGGTGTCCATACCACACTATGGTCTCCCAAAAGATCATATGTCCTATCTCACTGGAGTCCCCACTTCATCAGATAGTCAACCATACCTGGAATTCCTCCTATATTAACTCTCTAGTATTCACAATCTGCCCCAATTCTGTGGGTATCTCCATCTTACTAAACAACCCCCCCCCAAGTGCCCTTTCCTCAATCTAAGCAGGAATTACATAACCAGCTGCTCCCATTTGACCAGGTATCCCAGTTTTCCTCATAAAACTCCAATGAGAAGATATTGAGACTTGGATGGCTGTCCAATTTTGACAGTCAGGCTACATGGCTAAGTAAGATAACATGAATGAGATCCCTCAAGCCTAGCCAGATATCTGCCCTCTAAAAGCACTAGAAGTTACCTGCAGTACCAAATGGACTCTGGATATAAAGGGAATCAGTGTACAATCCTCCTTTGCCAGTGGTAAAGGGTCACCATAGCTCTGGCCATGGGCAAAATCTGGCCTCAATTTCAGGGCTAGCTTCACCCTCAAGGATTTTCAGAGTCTCTTTGAGTTTCCAGTTGTCTGGTTAAAATTCCAGTTCTTTATAAGACCAAATTTCTGCTTCTGCTTTCACATTTATTCTCACACATATTGATATATCTTGACTCAAGTGTTAGTTTTGAGATAGCAACTCTGAGCCTCAATCCAAGCAAAGTACAGGATAACAGAATGGACCCATCTCTTCAAAGAAGCCAGGCTGTGCATCTGCTCTGCTTTTGTAAATTGGGAATATCAAATGCACCAGAAGAAATGACCATGGCTGTGATGTTTCCAGCTAGCCTCCCAAGTCATCAGGATAGTCTCAGCTGACCAAGGGGCAGAGAACCAGAGACTTTTGTGATCCTGAGTTTACCTTCTCAGATCTGCAAGGTAACAGTGAATGTTAAACCTGTAGACACAAAGGGCCTGTGGATTACTGGCATTCCTCCAAACAAGCTTGTAAATGTAGTAATGAATACATCAGCCTGCTCAGCACCCCAGGAAAATGTCAAAGCTCCATGTGGAGAGAAAGAGCAGAGATGAAAACTGCTGTCCACAGGGCCTGGGATCCCACAGCATTGTTTGTACCAGCAGGGATGTAGAGTGGGACAAGGAAGCCATGGCCTTGGCCTTGACCTTGGCCTTGGCCAGTCTCCTGAACATTGGACACTGAGTACTGCTTCCCACACATCAGAGATGGAACATTGGGCAAGGAGCTTCACATGGCTCTATGTATTAGAATGATGTATGATAAGGGAAACCTTCAGGGTATTGTGAGAAGATTAGGCAGAATATAAAGCTTCCTGGTAAAGGCTTTAGGTTGGAGGCATTTCTAGAAGGTGATGCTTGCCTGGGCTTCTAAAGCCTAACAGTGGCAAGAGGAGCAACTCAGGATCATAGGACGAACCTGTATCTTCTTAAGGAGAAAACTGGCCTCAATTCTAGGAAGAAGGCGAAGAGCTTTTACTCAGGGTTTTGTCATTGGTACTGTAACTGTTATTGCTTATTTTTGTTTGTTTTTAAATAACAGCGTGTATGGAAGATTTTATAACGTAAGCCTTGGAAAGCCAGGCAACAGTGAGGTGAAGGCAGGCAGTCCCTGGCATTGGTTTCATGTGCCATCACCTCTTCCCTGATGTCTTCTATGAGGCCGCTGTCAACATTATTGAGAGTTCTATGCCTGGGAGAATGGTGCCATATTAAGGCAGTGTGGCTAGCCATTGGAGGCCTCTGGGTGTATCGTGATTTACCATGACGACACTTGTTCGAGACTCTGGGGAATTTGAGAATTACTAAGATGCTAACCCCTGAGAGACTGAAAGAGTTTGCTTGGCTACTACCAGACCTTCACTGTCATGGCACTAAAACCACTCATAAAGAGTCACATGGACAGTATTGTCCTGACTCTCACCATGTTCGTTGGCATTCACTCGATGCACCTCCATTGCCTAATACACATCTGCCCTCACTACCTATGCACATTCACCGCAACCGAAAGATACAGCCTGCAAGGCTTCGATCCTTACTTGGGAGCCAATACCTTTAGTTCTCTGCCTCCTTCTTTGTCAGGATTACCAGTAGCTAGCTGAGCCATTTGGGCCACAGCTTTTCAAAAGTCACTGCAACTATCTAGGTTATACAATGTCAATCCGTTCAGCTATACACTATAGCCAGTCTCTTCTCTCACAAGCAAGCCCTTTGCAGTGAGAGCTCAGGTCTGCCTCTACTCTGGCTTGAGAGAAAAGTCTGTCTGCTTAACACACAAGCATACATCAGCAAGCAAAAGCAGTAAACACAAGGTGCTTTTGGCAGTGCGCCTTCTGTGCCCACCAACACTACATGCTTTGCTTTTCAGTGAAGCTAGTTCATTTGGGAACACTCTGTATCTAGGTAAATAAAGAGAAGAGCAGTAAAATACTTACGCATTTCTGTGTGAGGAGCAGAAGTGCCACACAATCAGGATCAGCATGCAGTTCTGACTTAATGCACTCTGTCTTCACAGGGTTTTGCTTGTAACACTTATGACTCCTGGCTCTAAGTCATGACTCCAATTAATAAGAAGCAACAACTTTTGTCTGTTTCTACCACATAATAAATCCATCTTTAGGTTCAAATTATTTTATTCAGCAAATCAAGATGCTTAGGTGGCCCAAGATGCTTAGCATCCCTCCAAGTCACGTGAACTAACATCTGCATTACCTGGATATGATTCGCACATAGTTAAAGTGATTTCAGTTTCCTGATTAAACTGAGCTAGTGAGA